TTTCTTTCATACCATGTAGAGATGTCACCGAAGTTTTCTTCTTTTTTTTTTTTTTTTGTTTGTAGATACCAAAAAATTTATTAGTGATTGTATCGGTCACCATTTGAACCGACAGCTGCAGCTTGCCCCGAGACTTCTGGAAACAACAAATGTAGTTAGGGTGGAAAACCTGCCTCCTGGGGTAGATGACTACCAGCTGCAGCTCTACTTTGAAAACCCTTTCAACGGGGGCAGAAGAGTCACCCAGGTTGAGTGTTTCCCAGAAGAGAGCTCGGCGCTGGTTGAGTTTTCAGACAGCAAAGGTAATGTGTCTTGGCCTGCCACACAGGCATGACCTGGATGGTTGGCCATTTCAGCCATTCCTTAATCTGTCAGAAATGGCACCAATTATCTGGATTTGGTGCAGAACGAGGGCAGCAAGGCAGGCTCTGGAGAAGCAGCACAAGCTCATGAGAGACAGGGAGAGTCTCTGACGAGTCCGGCCTGTGACTGAAGGTCGCCATTCTAGGGACGTTGACAGGCCTTACTCACTGCCATAGATCTGTGTTTTACATCCCCACATTGATTCTCTAATCAACAATTTTGGGGAGAGATGGACTCAGAAGCGTATAGAGTTCTAGAAAGCGTTCCTCTTCCCCCTGTGCTGAGATGAGATAATGGTATTTCTCATAACCTGGGGAGGAGATGGAAGTCCTGTTGTTGATGACATCATCAGTGGTTCTTGAGTCAGACAGATTTGAGTTACAATCCTGACTGGTGGTCACAGGCATGGTGACCTTCGTGAGCCTTCAAACCTTTTGTTTTCTCATCTGTAGAGATAGTGTTGGAGTTACCTCAGAGGATGCTGTAGGAGGAAATGAAACAGTCCCTCAGCAGTGCTTGGCCTAAGGGGGTGCTGAGTCTGAGCTGGAGGTCACTCAGGCTGTCCGCCCCATCTGGAGCCCTGTGGGAGGCTGGGCCTCTGAAGGTCACATTCCTTCCTGCAGGCCTGATAGCTGCCCTAGGACTGAGTCCTTCACCAGGGTATTATGTTTTAGCATCTTTTCTCCCATGGGTGCCATTTAAATCCAAGTTGTGGGATTGATTCTAATTTCCATGCTGATATTACTTACGCATGCCAACAGCTAAAACAAAGTGAGGAGAGTCCTGGAGAAAGAGAGAGAGAAAGTGAGCATTCAGTCAGGGTGGGTTGTGGTGGCTGGCCTGGTACACATGGTGACCGGGAGATATAATGGGGAAGGCCTTACTAAATTGTGACCTCTGGGGCTGGACTCTCCAATGACTGTGAGGATGATTTTGATTTGGTATAGGGGCAAGACCATGGGGTCTGGGTTGGCTCACACTGGCAATTAGCTCAGATACTTGCCTGGGTTTTTAGAACCCTGACTTTCCCCAGCCTCAGCTTTCTCACCTCTATCTATGGGTGTAATAAAATCTCTACCCAAAGGCCACTGTCAAGAGTAAACACTGGAAATTCATGTAAAGCCCTTGGGAAATTGACACAGAGCTCTGGTACAACTATCTTCTCCTGAGAAATGAAGTTAGCTATGGAAGTTAAATTCTGGGACTATACAGGAAGGGACAGAATGCAGAGTGACCCACCTGGAGGATTAAAACCATTTATTTATTTATTTAATGTGCATTGGTGACTTGTCTCCATGAACATCCATGTGAGGGTGTTGAATCTCCTGGAACAGGAGTTATAGACTGATGTGAGCTGCTATGTGGGTGCTGGGAATTGAACCAGGATCTTTCAGAAGAGCAGCCCAGTGCTCTTAGCTGATGCGCTATCTCTCCAGCCCTTAAATCATTCCTTGTGTTGGTACAAACACCAACCCCGTGCTTGTGTCCAAATTTGTGTCTGTTTCTTATTGTGCCACATACATCAGTGACATCAGAAAACCAATAGACTCAGCATGATTTCAGTGTAGAGCGATTTGGGTATGAAGTCATCATAGCCCTAAATGGAGTCTGTCTGTTGTGGTTGGCATCAGTCTAAAGCTGAGCACATGGGAGAATGGCACCTTTGAGTTCTACAAACAGCAGAGACTTTTGCCCTCCTGAAAAAGTTTGTTTTGTTTTGTGTTTTTTTGGAAATGCATAATATTGAGATTACTTTTATTTTGTTTTTAAAGTGTTAGACACCATTCTGGCCAAGAAGCACAGTTTCAACAGGATGCCACTGTCTGTCTTCCCCTATTATCCTTCTCTGGGCACAGCCTTGTATGGTGAGGAGAAGCCGCTGGTCAAGCTTCCAGCATCTTTCCAAGAGTCACTGGGCCTTCCTTTGTGGAAGTTCTTTCAAAAACATAACCATCTGATTGAGGAGATAAATGACCAAATGAGACGCTGTCACTGTAAGCTAACATGGTCTGACATCAACGGCACAGTGACCGTCAGACCTGCTGCCAACTTAGTCATTCACAGACCAAGCATCAAGACCTGGCAGAGAGACGCCTCCGAGGTGCTGTCTGACATCAAGTATGAAGTTAAGATGTTTGAAATGTATCTGACACTGTGGGACATCATACAGCATGAGGTAGGAGATGACAGGGTTCTCGTTGAGTTTGATAAGGAGAGTCTCACCTTAGCCAGAATATCAGAAGATGTCCAAGACATCAGCCAGAAAATCAAGGAGTTAATAGACAGCACCACAGAAAAGGTCCGAAAGGAGGAGCAGAGTCTGGAGGAGAACGTGGCCATTTCTCCGGGGAAACACTTTCTTTTGGAACACAGTGGTTCCCTGGATGATCTAAGGAAAGAGAACCCAGAGGTGGAGATTCATTACGATGCTGCCACTCAGCACCTGTGCTTCAAGGGATTCCGTGCAGATGTGTATAGAGTAAAGTGTGACATTCAGGAAAAGGTGTATTCCATGGCTCAGAAAGACATCCCGATTCCTTCTGAAGTCTTCATGTTTCTGCAGCAAGTAGACAGTCAGGAATTCTCCAAGACTCTTTTTGAAGCACAGAAAATTCTTGCCACATACAAGCTGAAAGGTAAAGGTCTTCTCTTGATGGCCTGTTCTTTCAGAGCCCTGGCTGAAGCAGAGGAGAAAATGCTCAATGCCTTAAGTTACAAGCTCATTGAAGTTGAAAACAAGGAAGTTCTTAGAGGCAATGTATGGAGAAAGAAAATTCAACCTCTGCAAAAAAGACACTCCTCCACTGCAAGCATCATGATAAAGAATGAATTAACTTCAGGAACCCCGGCGGAGGTCATCATTGCAGGCTGTGTGAAAGAAGTAAATGAAATTTATGGCCAACTTTTTGAGTTCTTGGAGAACACCATGAAAATTGAAACACTGTTTGAAATTGAATCGATCTTGATTTTTTTTGAGTATTTAAGGGCAAAGAAGAATCTGTTCTGGCCAAAGATAAGGAAGGCCAATGTGCAGGCAAGTTTTAAGCTGGAAGATGAACTTTTTCTAACTGACTACATTTTACTAACTGACTACAAGAGTAAAGTTCTAGAGTGCATGAACATGGTCAAGGAAATCCGGGATTCAGTCTGCATTAAAAGGTTCCACATTGATGAGCCTGGTGCTAGGCACTTCTTCCAGGACAAAGCATCCTATTACAGTGTAGATTTTCCCTCTACACTGGACTTCTTCCCAAATCACTTAGGAGTAGAGATTGGTGTGTCTGTAAGGATCTAAAGGGCTCTGGGATAGGTCACTCCTTCCCGGTAACTGTGGTCCATAGTAGGGGACACTGCACGGCTCTCCTCATCTTCATCATTTCCCACCTGTCGAGTCTGCTCCATCTAGTGCTGGCTTCTGTCAGTTACAGGTGTGGGAGAGCATGGGGAACGCAGAGGATAGGAATTTAACCAATGACACGAGGAAGGGTGACCTTGGGTGCTGGAGTGGACGAGGGAGCTCAGTTCTCGGATCCCATCTGTGGGTCCTTTGTGAGGAAGGAGTGGGCAGGTGGGCGGGAGGAAGGTCCAGATGTTAGGAGTCATGTAAGGACAATTCTTGTTTTGTGGGATTGTTGTAGGTAACTAATGTTTTTTAGATAGGCTGGCACCCAGGAAGTCCCAGTAATCCTCCTGTCTCTGCCCTACACACACACACACACACACACACACACACACACACACACGCTGGGGATAAAGGAATAAGCAGCCACTGCTCTTACTCTCTCTGCCTCATCCTTCTGCACTAGATTGTGTGTGTGTTTGTGTGTGTGTACAGGTGGGCATGGTGGCACGTGCCTTTAATTACAACACTTGTAAGACAGAGGCAGGCAACCCTAGTTCAAGGCAAGCCTGTTCTACATAGAATTCCAGCCTAGGCAGGGCTACATAGTGAGACCTGTTTTCCCTCCCTTCTTCCTGAAAAGTATTTAATACCCTTTCCTACACAGGCTCTACTCATTGGAACCATAGCTATCTGAAGCAGGGCAGGCTGGTACCTTCTTCCTGACCAGTAGCTGCATGTCGCTCTGCATGGTTGTAGCTGCATCCTCCAGTGAATGTCTGCCTCACCTGTTTGCTTCAGCAGGGTTTCGTGCTGAGACTTGGGTGATCTACCCTTTTTGTTACTCAGACGCTCTGAGCATGTTGTTAATGTTTTGCTTTTAAGACAAATTCTTGGTTGAAGCTCAGTTGAAAGAGCATTTGCCTAGCAGGCATGAAGTTTTGGGTTCAGTTCCTTAGCACTGCATAAACATGAAGTGGAGCCACAAGTCTGTAAAAGCAGCACTAGGGAGACAGAGGGAGGAGGATCAGAAATTCTAATTCAAGGCAATCTAACTGCAGTGCACTCTAATCCCACCAGAAAGAAATTTGTGCCCATTAGCAGTTGCTCTGAATTTATGCACCTGCTCACCCCACCTTCCTTAGCACTAGAGAACATATAATCTACTCTGTTGTTTGTTTTTAATTTTCCTTTTGAAACAGGGTCTTACCACACTACTCTTGTGTTCTGGAACTTGCAATGTGGACCAGGCTGGCTTTGAACTCAGAGATCCACCTGCCTCTGCCTCCTGAGTGCTGGGATTAAACGTGTGTACCACCACACCTGGCTCTACAGATTCACTTGTTCTTGAGGTTTCATATAAATGAAATAATATATTTGTGTCTTCTGTTACCAGTTTCTTTCACTGATGGAAATTCTTTCAGGGGTCACCTCTACTGTAGCATATATCAGTATTAAATCCCATTAGTGGCTACATAATATCCTATTAGATGAAGATACATTTGCTTTTCCCAACAACTAGCCAACAGACACATGAATTCTTTCCACTATGACTTTTATGAATTTTGTTTCCCTGAACATTAGTCACAAAATGTACAAGCAACTGTTATCTTCCTTTGCCAAGCCCAGTGGCTCAAATGTAGTCATGGTTGATGAATGCCTTTACTAAGAATTTGAAAGAAATCTTTGGTTTTGTCTTTAAGACCCATGTCGTTGTCAACTCCATTCCCTCGGATCTTGTGCTCAATAAAGGACCCCTTTCTAAGGCCTTACTGGAAAAGGCCGGGCCAGAACTCCAGAAGGAACTGAATGAAGCAGGACAAGGGGTCTCTGTCAAGGCAGGCACAATCCTACAAACCAGTGGCTGTAACCTGAACTGCCACCACGTATTTCATGTGGTCGCTCCACAGTGGAAAGTCGACAACAGTGCATGGTCACTGAAGGTAGGACCCAGCTTTACATTCTCCAGGACATGGGGTAGCTCTCTGGACTCCCCCACAGCACACCACAGCTAATCTCTGTCTGCTTCTTTTCTGGGACAGCATCATGAGTTTGGCAAGTTCCATAGCACGACCATTTCTTTTCAATTGTAGATGACTTCTTGTAGGTCATAGTTCATATAGGTCATAGTTAGAAATGTAAGTTGGTTATTGTGCTCAGCAATTACTGATGGTCAGGGAAGGGTTGGGGAATACACTACATTTATGGAGGAAAGGTAAGGTGAGGACTTGAAGCTGGGAGACAGTGATGGACTGGGACAGCTGTGGCTTCCCCTCTTTGCTTATGGTGGAGTGAGTCTGTGCTCTTGTAAGGGTGTCCACGTTCTCTTTCTCATTTCTTCTCCACAGAGTCCCCCTCACACTGCTGCTAACTTTTGTTGAAAGCACAATAGAGTGGACAGTGCTCCCAGGAAAAGCTGCTGAGTGCTTAGTTTTTAGGGTTCCCCATTTCTAAACAGGACATTTTAGGAACTGCTCTGTGCTTTTCAGATCATGAAAAACATCATCAGAGACTGTCTAGGAATCGCTGAGGCACTGTCTCTGCAATCAATTGGATTTCCAGCAATAGGAACAGGAAATATGGGGTTTCCTAAACCCAAATTTGCTAAATTAATAATTTCAGAAGTGCTCAAATTTAGT